TAACACCACAGTGTATTTTAATATAAATGTAAGTTTAACACCACAGTGTATTTTATTATAGATTTTACTTTACCATGATATTGTATTTCATTTCCCGCGCTGCTGCTGCTAGGTAGCAGCGGACGCGCCGTTTGCGTCTCCCACGTCATTTCCGCTTGCTAGAACCCGGATGCAGCTGCCATTGGGGCAAAGAGCAGGGCCACCGAGGCTGGTCGTGTTTTACCGTCACGCTGAGCGGACTGTTAGAGCCGCGGGGTTGATGCCGACAGGGCAGCGCGGAGCGGCAGCAGCGCTACGAGAAACCGAACCGTCCGCCCCGAGCACAGACACCGGCTGAAGGCTGCTGCTGCTAACGGTGCTAAAGTGTTAGCGAAGTGACGCGGAGCAGCTCCTCCGGTGATTAGCCGCACACACGGCGGACACACTGAACGTCTTGCCAGGGGCTGAAGCACAAACACCCGGCGGATGAACGATGTCTGCCGCTAGTATCGACCCTCAGGTGAGGACAGGAGCGGGGACACACGCTCGGTTTGAGGGTATCTTCATTTATTCTCCACAGGGAGACGAGATGCGCGGCTGTGCTCAACCCACTCAAGACGATGCCAGCTAGTTAGCTCGTTAGCCGGCTGAGAGGCAGGTTAGCTGGAGAGCTGGTAAATAACGGAGGCCTGGACCTCAGCTCCCAGTGGCGACCACACTGACCACAACACAACATTCAGCCCTTTAATGTCCGCCTGCTTTCCTCCAGGACAGTCTGAATACATGTCAGGACAATGTGTGATGTGATTCAATAACACCCGTGACCCATGCAAGGCTTTCTGTGTTTTATCTCCCTCCTCTCACATGCATCCCTTCTCTCAACACGACCCAGACATCGAAGGGACAAGATGCGAGCAAAGGTAAGAAGAACACTATGCAGCTGACCTCCTGATGGCTCGTTGAAATCTATCCAGCACCATGTTTAGCCCCGCTCGCTCCTCCTGCACCAGCTACCAACCCACGATAGAGATAGATGCTCTCTATTGATCCCAAATTGTGAAGTGATTATTATATTATATTACAGCAGCAGGTCAGGGGCAGTGCACATGGAGCCAAGTATCTATGAAACAGATTCAAAGAATTATAACAGCTTGACATAGAATGTAATACATAAAATAATAAAATTGTACATGCACGCTAAGTAAATGATTGCACTAGAATACATAGTAAAGTACTAAATGTAATACATTATTATAAACAATAAATTAAATAGAGATGACGAAATACGAACAAGTCTGCAAGGTTGCAGTAGTTTGCATTTAAAGATAATGTAGCGAGGTAGTTGGGGATATGAAATACTAAATAAAAATGTGAACGTTTTTGCAGGAGTAAGCAAATAGTTTTGTTGTGGACAGAAACTCTACAGCTCAGGGTTGTGAGGAGTTGTACAGTGTTGTAACTGTGGGCAGGAACATTTTCCTGTATCTGACTTAAGCTTCAGCCACTCAAACTAAAGTGAGGATTATTTCTAAAGAAAATAAAAATGTCTAAATGAATCCCTCAAATGTGCAGTGAATGAAAAAGAAAGCTTCATTTCCCAGGCTCACACACACGTGTGTATTTAGTTGGTCGGTGTGTATTTTGATGTTGTTTGTTCTTGTAGTGTCTTTTGTCTCTTCGTGTAACGACACTGACTGAGGTCGACACCAATCTTCTGCAGGACTCCTTGTTTTTCCTTTCTCTGACGATAGTTCTTAATAAGCGTGGGTGAATGTTTGGTTTGTCGTCATGCTGCAGAATAAATTTTGGATCGCTGAGACGCCTCCCTGATGGAATTGCGTCATGGTTAACATCTAAATATCTCAAACTTTTGCAAAGAACTGATTTATGTATGATGTCCATGTGAACAGATCGAGAGTGTTGATCACAGCCTCTGCTTCTTTACATATTGTGATCCACGTTTCTTTCATAACTATGCCATAAATAAACATACATCACACTAACAGCAAACTGCTTTTCAATTGTAAACGTCTTGCGCATTTCAAAAGGTCAACGCTTCCTAAATTTTATCCAGCAGCCGACCACACTGCGTCAGACGGGATCATCTATTTTAATTTTCTACTGCTCATCGTTAACCCATGGATTCTGTGGCTGCAGGTTTATTCTAAATATGTGGCGTTCGTACGGCGGCAGAGGACGCAGCAATGTTTTCTGTACACTGCAGATATTTAAGGCTTCTTGACGGACCTTGCATTTTTAAGTTGTTTTAAATTCTCATGTGCAGCTTTGACACCAGTTTAATTTGTTTGCAGCCTTCCCAGTTTCAGTGCAGAATGGCTCCCTCCACCAGAAAGACACGGTCCATGACAATGACTTTGAGCCCTATCTCACCGGCCAGTCCAATCAGGTGGGGAACACCTCGGAATTTGGATCATTAAAATACCTTGTTTTCCGTCATTCTGTTGCCCTAACAAATGATCTATCTTCTTTTGTAGAATAACAGTTATCAGTCCATGACAGACCCTTACCTGTCCAGCTACTATGCCCCCTCCATTGGATTTCCTTACCCTCTCAGTGAAGCTCCTTGGTCCACTGGAGGTGACCCACCAATTCCCTACCTGACACCCTATGCACCCCTCAGCAATGGAGACCATCACTTCATGCACGACACAGTGTTTGGGCAGCCGGGTGGGCTCAGCAGCAGTATTTACCCTCACAGGTTTAACTTTTTCCCAGAGAACCCGGCCTTCTCTGCCTGGGGCACCAGTGGTTCTCAGGGCCAGCAGACTCAGAGCTCAGCCTATGGAGGGAGTTACAGCTACCCGCCCAGCTCTCTGGGAGGCACCTTAGTCCCTGATGGGCAGACAGGTTTCCATAGTGACACCCTGAGCAAGGCTCCAGGTATGAACAGCCTAGAGCAGGGCATGCTGGGCCTAAAAATAGGTGGGGATGTGACAGGAAGTGGCTCTGGTGTGAAAAGTGCAGGGTCTGTGATCGGTGGAGGTGGCAGTGTAGCTGCAGCTGTTGCCACGGGCAACGGAGGCACACCAATCGGAATGCCCCCTCCGAAACCTACATCGTGGGCTGCTATAGCGAGTAAACCTGCCAAGCTGCAGCAACAAAAGGCCAAGAACAAACCTGGCACACCCATCCCTGGAGGCGCTCTGCCTCCACCCCCCATCAAACACAGCATGGACATTGATACATGGGATAATAAAGGGACTGCAGCCAAGATGGTCCCGCCTTTGCCCCCCCACCACCATCATCACCACCATCACCACCACCACCAACAGCAGCACCAGCCACAGCTTCACTCCCATGCTCCCAGTCTCCTCCCTCCCCTTCAACAATCCCTACAGTCTGCCCAGTCCCTCGTGCAGCAGATGACCATGCAGGGTCCTCCACCTCCGCAGTCTTACCAGAACCACAACTCCGCTCCAACACCTCAAACCCGCTGGATAGCCCCACGCAACCGCAACTTGTGCTATGGTGGTGGAAGCTTGGACAGCAGCTGCTCCTCCAACGGAGGCGGTGTTGGTAACGGAGGTGGAGGGGGTGGGGGTTTGCTTCCAGAGCCGGGTTTAGAGTCCCACCCTGTGCTGGAGAAGCTCCGAGCGGCCCACAGCTACAACCCCAAGGAGTTTGACTGGAACCTCAAGAACGGCCGTGTGTTCATCATCAAGAGCTACTCCGAGGACGACATCCACCGCTCCATCAAGTACTCGATCTGGTGCAGCACGGAGCACGGCAACAAGCGTTTGGACTCAGCCTTCAGAGCGATGAACTCTAAAGGTCCCGTCTACTTGTTGTTCAGCGTTAACGGCAGCGGCCATTTCTGCGGTGTGGCGGAGATGCGCTCACCTGTGGACTACGGCACCAGCGCTGGCGTTTGGGCGCAGGACAAGTGGAAGGGCAAGTTTGACGTGAACTGGTTGTTTGTTAAGGATGTGCCTAATAGCCAGCTGCGTCACATTCGCCTGGAAAACAATGACAACAAGCCAGTCACCAACTCACGTGACACTCAAGAGGTTCCTCTGGAGAAAGCGAAGCAGGTGCTCAAGATTATTGCCCAGTACAAACACACCACCTCCATCTTTGATGACTTTTCCCACTATGAGAAGAAGCAGGAGGAGGAGGAGGTGGTGAAAAAGGTAATGTTCCTTTGACTCTTAATACACTTTGGTGTTAGGATAAGTGAATATTTAGGGACTGTGACAAGACTATTTAGGTGGATAGAAACCGTATGTTTCACCTGTTAAAAAATTCAGTGTAATTTTCTTTTATAACTCAAGAAAACAACGATGATATTAATAATATTCCTATAGTCCCTTATTTCTTAGCTTTCTTTTCATCTTGCTTGGTTGTCTGTGTTGGTCATTGATTAAATATTTCTATCTTTTTAATATTATTGTATTCAAAGTGATGAGTTGTGTTTGTTGTGTGACATCTCAATAAAAATATCTGTAATAATAACTGTATTCATTTTTTTTCAGGGCTATGAGCCCGTCCCAATACAGAGCCGATCCCGAATCGATCAGGTAAAGTCTGTTATCTTATCTCTCTCTCTCTTTCTGTCAGGTGTGGATAAGATGAGAAT